CAATCAATTATGATAAATAACAATTAACTGATGACGTATTTGTTAATTATGATGACGTCATAAATCGATTAACCAATTATCAATTCAGAATTTCTGTACACTCAGAGCGGAATAGAAGGATAAATTTGTCAAGTATCGATTTTGAATAAAAGATCAGGTTTTCAGGTCTGTTTTCAAAACATTTGACACCTTTCAATTGGTGATGGAATTCTTTGTCACTATGAAGTGGTAAGTTCAAACAACCAATCATCGAAGAGCTTCTAAGAAAGTTTCTTATCGTGTTTTGATGCGAGATTGGTTAATACGCATGCAGTTGATACTTGGTTTTGCATTTCTTCATTTCAGATATCATGGATATTTTTAAAAGACGACAAGAAACCCGGCGAAACAAGCCACGCCCTGAAGGCCGACTGGCTGGTTTCTGGCACGGGTTTGTGAATGTCGTGTTTTATTGTGTGTTGGGCGATGCTGGTGCTGATAGCAACAAGATTGGTAAGGATACAACACAGCTGGTCAAATTTATTAATCTTTCCTCGTAAACCACTTACATTTGAGGGTTTTTGACTTTTATCGGCAATAAATACACGATACAATTTCTCGGGTTTGGTAAACCTTTATTGAAATGTTTTTGTTCCATTTTTGAAGACGCATGCCTCAATAGCCATTCCAAAGGACCACAAATGATCGATTAGCGCGCCCCCGGCCTTCGCAATTAATTACAACACCTATTCTACAACATCACCAAAGTCAGGCATAATCATCCTGCAGTACTGCGGCAAGTGCTTGAATGGACACTTTAATAATAACAAACTTTAATAATAATTTGTCAATGCTACCTAGTTTACATGTGGGTAAACTAATTGCGGACACCTTTTCTCAACCGCATACCTAATCATTTTCCAGGAGTAGAAGATATCGTTAATGAGCCATCTGCTGCAAGCACCACCTCAATGGCCGGCAACACAGTGATTACAACAGACCTTAATAGCCAGGGTCACATTTACCACAGACGAACCAATCATGAACCTGATGCTTGCCTGAGCATTATATCCTCATCACATGTACACTCACCGAGTGTTGATAGAATGCAAGATGGTAAGCAGAAGGAGAAAACAGCCAAAACATCTCAGGACAAGAGGAAGTGGTTCTCGTGCTTTAAAAGAGGAAGCAACAAGARCAAGGTGGTTGAAGATTATGAGAAGAGGAAGAACGATGGACCAGAGAAATCAGCAGATGCACGTCCCAAACCAGAACAAACCACTTTATCAGAGTCAAGCTTCAAAATTCTTCAGCTGACAGCCTCTCCTGGTGGAGCAAGGAAGGTTTACGACAGACTCTCTGCACAACCTTTCAACAAGGCTGACCAGTCCCATGATGAATTTCGTCCAAGAGTTGATAACAACAGGGGTGACGTGGACCTTGATGTAACAGCAAGCAGACAAAACCTTGACCAGAAATCAATTGACGACGACAACCACCATGATACAATGAAGGTAATTTAAGTGATTTGAAGATAGCTCTAGTATTCCCTGTAAATCTCTAATTCATTTCTCAATATACTAATGTCATTCCTTCATGATCTTTATAGACAGGTTCACTATCTGATGTCAGTTCTTTTGGGGAAAGTGATGTGTCAGGTTCAGATTCGGTGAGTAAATGTATTTGCCAAACTGCATATTCACAATTGATTAACTATTGACACTCCTGGTTTTCTTTCTTTCTTTTTTCTTGTTAGTCTTCATCGTTTACCGACGTAACTTCCCTCAGTTCAGGAGAGTTGTCTGATTACTGGGGACTAAGTGATGGCCAGCTTTCACCATCAGTGGAAGACCAAGTCCAAGTGTTGACGACTCGTGTGGTAGATGCAACTGTTTCTACTAGCATTGGTGAGCCAGGATGCACTGACATTCCTGTTGATATCGATGGAAAGGCACCCTACGCCACTGATATTGCTGTCATTCATGGAGACATGGATTACTCAGATAGTGTTAACATTGAGGTACCAAGTGATGTCCCAAATACTCATAGAGAGACACCCTTCTCTGAAAGTACTGCTATCCCTCAAAACACTGACACCTCGCATAGTACTAACATCGAAGCACCCACTGATGCTCCTAATACTGTCGAGACTTTGGATAGTACTGATAGCCTTGGTCAAGTACTAGGTGGGACGATCACCGACGTCTATGCTCTGATCGTACGGACGTTAAACCTTGGTCTGCCCAAGCCTACAGACGCTGCACCAAGGGACACATGTGCGGCAAAAGTGGACAAAATGGAATCAAATGAGGACCAATCAGATTGCTCAACAGCTGGTGTTCAGGTCAAGACCCAATGGAATGATGTAGAGGATGAGCCCACCATCAAAGTCCAAGAACACTCAACACCCAGTCTGCACAAACTGCATACGGAATGGCCTCAAAATCACGTCAATATCGAGGTACTTCTTGGATTAAAGCCACCCAAAAACTCTTTCGAGGCCCTCGCGGTTCAGAAATTTATGGATGAAGAAGCGTCAGACTCGACCAACAACTCAACTCAGCTGAGGACAACTGCTCCATCAACGCATACCGCAGAAAAAGATGCTTGTATTGAGTCAGAATCAGAAATGGCAGTGGATTCTGGGGTGGKGTCACGTGGAGAGTTTRCTCCTTCACARSCTTAATTTATGTTATTTATAATCTTAACTTTGTAAAAAATCTCTCTAAAAATCCTTTTATCTCGACTTTTTAAGTCTAAAAATCAACTTCTTTCGTTAACAGTGATGAATACTCAAGATATCTCTGGTGCAAATATATGCTGTAATGATGATAATGATATGTTTGTCAGTGGGTGTGGAGTGGATGTGAGAGAGTGTGGGTGGTGTTGATTTATTTTCCAAACAAATAAAAGAGAGTCAGTAAAATATACTAGTATTGGTGAATGTTCGAGGTTTAATAGTACAATTTTGAACATTTTATTCCGGAAAGCATATTCAGTATCGTGCTGGAATTTTAATATCTCAAATGTGGTCTATTCATGGATTTGGAATACAGCTTTACATGTTTGGAATCCTTTATAATTATGATTTTAACTTATTTTCGCACTTACCGCTAATCGAGCTGACTGTCTTCCGTTCACCTTCACCAGAGTTTTCTGAATTTACCTGCAAAATAGGAATAAAATTGATGGCAAGCTTTTAAACTTCAAAGTTTGTGAAAGACAAATAAATCAAGATAGAAAAGGAAGTAACACTTTACAGAGTGCATACCATATATCCGTAAAAATATTACTAAGAAATTGTAAATATTTGCAAAAATTAGTTATTTCAGTTCAAATCTTTGCACTAATTTGTACAATTTTGTAAGTTAACTTTTTCATGGATATATGGTATGCACTCTACAGAAATATGGGAAATGAGGTTTGCAACTAAATATTCTTAAATACCCACCCCTCCCCTTTCGCATTTAAGATTCTCATGTCAGTGCATGCAGTCTGATGAATTATTTTAGGAGGAAGAGTCAGATGTAATATGTCCCCCCCCCCCCCACTTCCATCCCATTCTTGGAAAAAGGGTTAGTCACACTGCATTTGTGCCAACCATCACTGGGGGAAATACTCCCATTTCGGAGTTCACCTTTGCTCAGCCTTAACCTCAATGGCAATGCCTTCTTTTCTTTTATCAAGTTCCATTGTATAGTAAGAAATGTATGTACTGCAAAACAATACGAGTTGATTAATTTTGGTTTAGTTGCTGAATGATTTTATCGCACCACTGCCAGCCTAAGGTTGAGCAAATTAAAGAGAACTTGAAAGCCGAGTATTAATGGTTTTCAACCATTCCCAAGAGAATTAAATAACAAGACGCAATTCTTTTAAGTTCCTCCAACATGGCCGCCGTGAAAACCATCAATTCGCCACTTTAGAAATGAGTGAAGGACTGGGAACAAGTATATAGAAGGTATTGATAATCAATCTTTTTTTTTTTTTAATTTATGACGAGAAAGAGTACATCAAAATTAACCATTTCTGCAGTATGGCTTAGATTGGCTAAGTAACATTTAAATCATAAGCGATCAAAAACATCAAAGATTACGAAGAAATGTATGTTTACAGGGAAAAGCATCCCCAGTAACCATACATTTCTTTGTAATTGTTGAGATGTTGGGGAAGTGGCCAATAGCTGGAATATTCTTGTTATGCTTTCTTTAAGTGATGCTCAATATCTCTACACACTTATTTCAAAAAACATTGTCATTGCCAAAGGGAATAGGCAAAAAGTAATAGGTCATTTAAAGATACAAGACTAGCTGGAATGACTTGTGTTTCTGCTTCTTATTCTCATCAAGAACATGGACCTTAGGGTTGAGACTGATGCAATGTTCTTTGTAGTCAACGAAACCATTTCTGTCTCGGAATGACCTATCGCCTTTGGCAATAAAGTATAGATTCCTTCATTTGGGACATGCCCCAGAAAAATTTCTGGATCCAACCCTGATTCCCATTTTTTATTTATTTGTGGCTTAAATTACATAATTTTATCAGAGAACTTTCTCCAAAAAATTTCAACTCCAAACATCATTAACATCATGAATTTAAAAAAACTAAGAAATACAAAGTCATTAAAAACTTTTTTAAAATTACATATATAAATTATAATAATAATTATTTATAATTATTTATAAGCTTCTGTACAATCTGGTATTTTTGATCATTTACGCCGGCTGATCACTTTCTTGGTGATGTTTATTAACAGCTGTTGTTCTGGTGAGGATTCTAGTTTGTTAATCTGTCGTATCGCTTCTTTGGAGTATTGATTTGCAAGGGTATATGTTCTTGATACACTATCACTCTGAAATAAAGAAATAAATGGTGATCATCATCACAGTCACCATCAATATCATCACCATCACCATCAATATCATCAGCATCATTGTCATCACCATCATTGTCATCAACGTCATCATTATCACCATCATCATTGTCATCATTGCCATCAATATCACCAATCACCATCACCATCACCACCACCATCACCACCACCACCACCATCATCACCACTACCATCACCATCATCACCACCATCATCACCACCACCACCATCACCAACACCATCATGAACATCAGCTTCATCGTTATAGATGTTTTGTATCAACCCCGTAATAGTTTGTTTTTTTTCTTCTTAATAATAATATACTTCAAAATAATTTCATTGTTATTATCATTTTCAGTATAGTATCATCATGATACAGCCATAACTGTTTAATAAATCAGCCTTATTGACAATTATGGGGGTGGTGATGATGATGACAATGATGACTGCTGATGGTGATGGTTTTGATAATGATGGTGACTGCTTTGATGATGAAGGTGGTGCTGAGTTGTTTTTTTAGTGGTGCTGATGATGAAAATGGTGGAGGAGGTGGTTTTGATGACGATGATGATAATGATAATGATAGTAGTAGGGATTATGCTAGGAAGCATTATAATTACAATGAAGAGTGTATAGAACTGAGATGTGGATAGACAAAACTTACATCATAAACTGCTTGTCTTGTAAATTCTACATCTCCTGGTTCCTTAAAGCGACGCATGATCATGGCATTTAATTCTGGAAACTGAAAAAAAACATATACATGTATTGTTTTAAGCATTACACACACAATACTGACCCCGTTATCTATATATGAATAGTATTTATAATGACTAGTGAAGCAAAAATCTAATAGAAAAATGAAATATATTATGAAAACAAACTATTACAGAAAAACAAACTATTTCTAACTTAAGGAATAAAAACAAAGTAGGAAATATTTTTGGGATTCTTGAATTTTGAAACATTATCCTTGTAAACTACCCCACCTTGCATTGGAGGGAAGTAAAAGAAAATAAACCCTGGCAATGACCACCCTGACAGTGTCTGGCTTTACTAATGGTTTCATATTGTTTGATTGTGGTATAGGTATGAGGAGTTTAAGGGGGTTGGAAATTGGTGCAGTATGCCTTGAAGGGGACCCTGTGTCATATTGTGCAGCACCAGCCTGCAGGCAAAATCTCAAATAATAAACAAGAAGAAATAAGAATAATCTACAGTATTGCACCTTTTCACAAGCAAATAGCACTGGTGCCGTAGCAAGTCCAAGCTTAAGATCTGCAGCTGTTGGTTTTCCCATCTCATTCTCACTGGCTACAAAGTCTAAAACATCGTCAACCAACTGCAATAGTAGATAAGCAGGAAATTAGATATAAAATATACTGTATAAATGGCAATTGGAATGATTATTGAAATCATATTCGTATGGCAAGGAAAAGGGCAATGGTAATGGCAACAGCAATGGTAATAGCCAATGCGTAAGAACATGAATCTCTGTTACTCTAAAAATTAATCTGACAATTTTACCTTCAACAATTTCTAAGAAGGTTTGAATTTTCAACAGACAAAAATATTGAACAAAGTAATTCTTTCTGATAGTTCCTTGTTCGATTTTTGCAGTACTCGGTTTCCCAGAGTGCTTTATGAGCTTTGATGCACAATGCCTATTGCAGCAGCAGCAGCAATCATTATGGAAATTTCAATCTCAATGCCATTGTCAATGTAATTGTCCATGGAAATGGGAAACACTACCAATGAATACTTCGTTACTTTTTTTCTCACCTGAAAAGCCATGCCGATATTTTTGCCATATTGATAAGCAGTTTCCTGTACATCTGATGAACAATCTGCAAACGCTGCCACCTAAAGAAAGAATAAATATAATAACAGAGTTCCTGTTATATCCAACCATCCAGGAGTAACATCTCCTTCCTCCTTCTCCTCTTCCTCCTCCTCCTCCTCCTCCTTCTTACATTTATAACAATAATTGGAAAGACCTAATAAAACATTCACATCCTGTACATGTCCAAAGCTACATGTAGCTACATGAAGTAGCCCTTACCCTGAGACTGAAATTACTTACATTCTAGACGGTACAGTTAGTGACTCACCGCTTTACAGCAGCATGCAATCAAGCTGGCTGTCTTCTTATAGGTTTTCTTTAAATAATGTGAAAAACGTTCATCTGGGTCTTCTTTAGATCCAAGTTGCATGAATTCACCTATAATATCCAACATATAAGTTGTCATGATAGAATGCGAGCACCCTTCCCCTAATCTATCCCACACCCACCCCTACCCCCACAGGCCTTTGTACCTCTGCCTTAATCCCCAGCCAGCCTACAACCAAAAGATGCAGAAAGACCAAGAAACAATAGACTGTTCTCACTCTTGTGACATTTAGTTTTTTCCAGTACATAATTTCCCTATCAACTACTGTACAGTCAAACTTCTATGATGGAGGTCAACCTCTGGGAGCTGATATAGAGAGGTTGCTAGCTTAATAAAAGACTGGTATAAGTTTCATGCAAAAACCTTTTTTGCGACTTTGACAGCTTTTTGCTTAACAGAGTTTTTAGTGTAATCTTAACTTGCCTACTATACTAAAGTCTACTCAATCAAGGGCACAACCAGAGAACTGGCCTGACAGTGGGGCACCCTTTTCTCAAAATAATTACCACAATCATTATCAACAAGAATATAATACTCCATCAGTTACAATGGTAGTTACCTCTAACTAGATCCTCAACAACCTCTGCCAAAAGTTTCACTACTTCTACATTTCCTAGTTTAGCCAAGGCTTGTGAAGCCGACGACAGGATGTAGTCTCCAGCCAGGACACAGTCCTTGTCGCCAAATGCTATATTCACTGCGATTTTGCCTCGTCTTGTTTTAGCACCATCAATGACATCATCATGGATCAGACTTGCTGTATGGATCATTTCACTTATCATTGCTACAGTTTCTTGAGATGGAAGAGTCATTCTATACAACAGGACAAAGAAGCACAACTTATAAAATATAATGTTATTAAACCATCAATGTTTTAAAACCCTGGGCCCAGTTGTTCAAAGCCCGATTAGTGCTAATCCTGGGTTAACTCTTAATAAGACCTATAGAGTTAATCCTAGATCCAGCTTTAATCCAGCTTTGAACAACCCGGCCCTGAAGTAATCTCCCGCCTTATTTTGAATAATAGGTTAGGGCCAACTGACAGATCAAACCCTGAAGCAAACCTCTGGGCTGATTAAAGTCAGGGCACAGCTAACTCAGAAATTGAGTCTTGAAACAACCTCTAGTCTGATATAAGTCAGGGCAGGCTAGAGATCTTAGCATGACAGGGAGGAAAACTAGAGAAACTGGGTAAGAAAAACTTTGAATCAAGGGAAAGATTGCCCTGCAACAAACTCCATTCAAATGGGATCAGAGGCTGACTGAAAAACCAATTTTTCAAGAACAAGAAAAACATCTCTTTTTTTGAATGATGCTAGCAGAAATGATGGTCACTATAAACTTACCTAGAGCTATTGGTCTGTATATTACAAGCTGCAGCCATTAGAAGTACTATCATTGGTCTAATGTATTTTCCTTGGCCATCAAAATAGTAATGTGAGACTTCTTGTAATGGCGTCACTTGGGTGTTTAATTCCTGCCATATTGTAAATAACATTTTATTTTACTGGCTTATGCATGGAATATTATCAGTGCCATACTACAAGTATTTGGACACCTTCATTTCAAAGATAATGTACCTACTTGTGAACCCACAGGGGTGGGGATGAAATGTCATGGAAAATTTGACATTAAGAACTGATTTCCACATAATTATACATATTTTAATTGGTATTTAAATTAATCACTGTTCCTCCCACCACCCCTCTCCCAAAGCACGGATGATTGAGATTTAGCATGCTTGCCATCAGAGTAGATCAGAGTATCCCACCCCCCCCCCCCCCCCCCC